CCTTCAAAAGACATCAAAGAAATCTTTGTCATACTGAAGGAAAATAGGGGCCAGCTTATTTTTCCAACCTTTGTGAAGATACAAACCTATGCAACACTGCCAGTGACAGCTTCTGTGGAGAGATCATTTTCAAAGCTGAAAATTATTAAGAGCAAACTAAGAAGTCTGTGTGGAGAAGAATGGCTTTCTGACCTTCTCTTGCTTGCCATTGAGAAGGACATTCAGATCAAACTTAGCGAGGTCATTACAATATTCAAAGGCATGGCACCAAGGAGGATGCTCCTTTAAAGCAGGAAAAATACTATAATACTTGAGTTTTTGAGCAAAAGACAGTCTGTTAATTGTTCGTTGTTTTTTTTTTTTAAAGAGTACCCAAAACATTAACTTAACTGGTGAGGAAAACAGGACACGACAAAAATGATAAAAGGTAAGTGAGTTTATTGTACAGTGATTGAGTCCAGGTTTCTTGCTGAAAAGACAAAGGAAAAAGTGGTTTAAGATGATGTTCTCTGGTAAGTGTTTTGAAGGTGTTGAATGTGTTAATAGTTAGTCTTTTCTTACAGGATCCAGGCGAGGAGGCTGACCAGGATGAGGAGGTTTGTAGAGGTTCTTTGTTTTTGGATTAAACGCAGGTAATTTCCAATATGTCTCTTGCAGATTTTGAGAGAGAGAGAGAGGCAGGGCGGAGGACGAAGAATCACTTCAGTCTTGAAGTGAAGATAACCAAACAGTCTGGATAAGGACCAACTGTGGAGTCACCAGGGGAACCAGGATAGTCCAGCCTGAACACAAGGTAGGTAAAAATACAACAATGGTTAATTCAAGGTTTCTCAAAGAGTTTAAACTGAGGCCGTCTTAAACAGTACCATGGGCAACTGAATAATCCAGCGCCGGATGGATCTCAGAAGGCGACTGAAATACTCTCAGGATTAATCAGAGCAGATAATGCACAGGTGAGYCCATCCAGTCTCCGCCCACCGAACTCTCAATGAACTGCAAAACAATTAAGTCAGGAAAAGCAGCAGCAGCAGCAGCAAACCTCCACACAGTCTAAGTCAAGTCTGTGGTCTTTGAACTAGTCCATTTTTATTTCAAGTGTGTTTATAGTTTTGTATATTTGAAATGGTTAATTATTTTTTTGACTCTAATGTTTCATTATACTGTGTTCTGTTTTTACCAATTTTATCGTGAAACCAACCCGTAGAATGTTAAACATTATTAAACACATTCATCAGAACAGAATATGGCTATTAATTTTAAACAGGTATACATATATGATGTATAAGCTGCACCTGTAATAAATCTCACACTGCTAGGACAGCGAGCGGTTTTATGTGCCACACAAGGTGCCCTTTTTTTTGTCACTTCAGTAGAAAACGAAACTAAATATTCATTTATTTAGTTTATTTATTYCTTCCTTGGGYTCTGGTCTTCCCTATGTCTGCCTCGTGTCTTGGGGGTTGGGTCTCGGTCCTCCACAGTCACTATTAAATATTCCATTGGAGAAATCTTGTATATACACACATGTTCACAACTGTTCACAGACAGGTGTTCTGATCCGGGGGGTTCTGACTGGTCACTGAGTGTGTATATATGTTTGTGTGTATATACTGACAATATTTATGAATGTAGGCATATATGTATGTATATCTTTATATATGTATGGGTATGTGTATATATTTATATATGCCCTCCATATATTTATACATTTATTTTTCAGGTAAGCAGACAGATGTTGGGTGTGTGGTCCTGTGTTTTCTTGGTGTATATTTAATAAACTTCTAAAAGCTATTTCAATCTTTCTATCTTTCTAATTACTTCTCTGTCTGTTTTTCTCTCTCTCTATTTTCTCTTCACTTAAAAAAAAGGTCACTGATGAAGGTGCCCTTTTTTTTACTTGAGCACCTGCACCCCAAAATGTCTGTGCACGCCACTGTCTGAGAGTGATGTTCTAGAGGTGGTTAGAACATTTAAGAGCAAAAAGTCTACTGATTCTTATGGTCTTGATATGTCACTTATTAAAGATGTAATTGATTGTGTAATTAAAACATTCACTTATGTATGTAACAAATCTTTTTTGACAGGTATCTTTCCTGATAGGATGAAAATTTCTAGGGTATTTGCAATTTATAAAAATGGTGATGAACATTTATCAAATTATAGACCAGTTTCTTTGTTACCTCAATTTTCAAAAATATTGGAAAAGTTATTTGTAAATAGATTTGATAATTTTATTGAAAAATATGAGTTATTGAATGATCATTAGTATGGTTTTAGGAGTAAAAGATCAACCTCATTAGCATTAATGGATWTTGTGGAAAATATATCAGCAGCAATTGACAAGAAATTACATACTTTAGGTGTATTTACTGATTTACTTAAAGCATTTGATACTATTGATCATCCATTATTATTGCATAAACTGGATAAATATGGTATAAGAGGTATCACTAAACAATAGTAACAAGTTATGTAAATAATCAGCGTCAATACGTTGAAATTAATAATACTGAATCATATTGTAAAAAAGCAATCTGCGGTGTTCCACAGGGATCAGTTTTGGGGCCAAAGTTATTTATAATTTATTTGAATGACATTTTTAAATGATCAAATAAGTGGAAATTTGTTACATTTGYAGATGATAATAATTTATTTTATTCAGGAGATGATATGGAGGAATTGGTATCAACTGTAGAACGAGAACTGGCATTATTAAAAAACTGGTTTGATATTAATAAAATGTCTTTAAATGAAAGTAAAACAAAATTTATGGTGTTCAGTGGAGTTACGGTTATACATAATATAAAATTAAATTTACATGGAGTTGAAATTGAAAGAGTACCTGATATAAAATTCTTGGGAATGATCATTGATGAAAAACTACATCTTGGGTGTCACATATAGAGTATGTCAGACAAAAAATATCAAAATTGGTTGCAATTATTTTTAAAACCAAAGAATTGTTAAATAGAAGTTGTCTTTATTTTTCACTTGTAGTGCCATTTATGTCCTATTGTGTAGACTTTTGGGGTAATGTTTATAAAACCAATATACTGTAGATCCTATAGTTAAACTTCAAAAAAGAGTAATTAGATTAATAAATAATGCTGGGTTTTTTGATTCCACAAACCCACTATTCTTAAAGTTTTCTGCTTTAAAATTTAGTGATATAGTGTATTTTAAAACACTGGAGTTACTATATCGGGTAAGAATAGATAATCTTCCTGATGGTATTCAAAGATTTTTCAAGTTACGGGAAAATAATTATAATTKAAGGGGTTCTTTATTTTTGAAGTACATAAAGTAAGAACAAATATCAAATWCAGATGTGTTTCAGTATTGGGTGTTGAACTGTGGAATAATTTAAATGATGAAATTAAGTTTAGTGACTCTCTTTTAATTGTCAAAAAGAAGTTAAAAAGTAAACTAATTATGAGTTATGGTTTATAGTGGTCAGTTGTGATGATGGTGATGGTAATATATTACACCTTTTTTTGCATGTACGGACAATATTAATGATGTTGATTTAAAAAAAAACTGTGTTAATGATTTGCATATAACCAGGATGTAGTTGAAGTATATGTGTTTTTTTTTTGTGCATTTTGTTTTGGGGAATCCATTATGAATTGTAAGGTGAGGCAAAACAAGCCATTGGCTTCTGCCTCTACCTATTTGGTCATATAGGGTTAAAGTTTTGTTTGTTTTTGTGTGGAGTGTTCTTTAATGTGACCAAATAAAATAATTCATTCATTCATTCATTCATTCATTCATTCATTCATTCATTCATTCATTCATTCATTCATTCATTCATTCATACATTCATTAATACTGTCTACTTAAAAAAAACAGCATAAAATACATTTAGGCCATTTTATGTCTTTTTCAGTCATTAGTGGATTTTTTTCTGTTCTTTTTGTTTCTAAATGATCCTTTTTGGTTCATTTTGTTTCTTATATAATGTTTCAGACGTTGTGTTGTAACAGTGTCTCTCATTTTGAAGTGTGTCTGTGAGATGGTTCTGATGGTTTTCTGCACTGGGACACAATGTGTCAACTTCTGGATACTGATTAGAGCTAGATGTAACAAACACTGTGAAATCTGACCAAATGAAATAAAAACAGTAATCAGGATTGTTTTGAACACTATGGTCTGTCTTTTGTAACAAAGTAGTAAAAGTTTCAGCAGCATCAGTAAAGTACATCAGACTGATAATTCAGTGCAAATATTAAACAGACAAGTTGTTTCAAACTCTGTAATCCTTTTTAAAAAACATTTTCCCTCAGATGAAATGTTCTTGAACAGACTCAGACTAACCAGAAGTACTGTACAATGACCACAAGTAACTAAGAACATTTACTTCGTTACAGCAGTTATTTTAGTCATTTTTGAAGATTTATAATAACTTTTAAGTAACTTTTACTTTTATTAATGAAAGAGGATTAGGGTCAATGAAAAAAATAAGAAAAATTCTGACTTTAATCTCAAAATTTTCAGATTTCTGACTTTTTTCTCAGAATCAGGAAAAAGAGTTTAAAGTCGGAATACTTTTGCTTACCCAGTTATTGTAAGCTGTTTTATGACTTTTACTTAAGTACTTTTTTAACAGTTAATTTTTAAGTTATTTTTACTTTTACTTAGTTATTTCTTTTAAGTAAATACCTCTGGATTTAACTAATTTACTTATAAATAATGAATTTTTAACATGAGGTAMCCTGTAATTGTTACTACAGAACTTCTGATGAGAACTTCATGTTTTTTTAACATAATAGTTGAAAAAATATCAACATGACAATCAGATGTTTGCTGTTATTTACTGAATCATGATCCTCATGCTTTATTGGTTTATTAACATCATCTTCAAAGCTCCACTAGAGGGAGCAGTTTCATCACTAAACCATTCCTGCACTGGGCTTAATCCTCATGTCCCACTCTCATGGAGCAGAATGTAACCTTCATTTTACCTTTAAAGCAGCAGCAAAATTAATATTCAACAACATCCATTTCAGGGGGGAGTCATATTTTATTCAGAACTATCCTTTGTTTGTTTTTGCATTTAGGCCACAAACACACCAAAAATAATTTGTATATTTGGTTACAGCTGCAATTAGAAAAGACATAAACTTACACTTCATAAACCTGCTCAGGCTGTGGATGATGCTAACAGGTTTTAAACCCTCTTAGGTCATGTTGCTTTACATCATCTGCCCCCATAAACAGCAGATGATCCCAGGAAATAATCATCAAAAACACGTTTCTGATGAACGCTTGAAGTCGACCTGATTCRAGATGATTGTTCTCAGGAAACACAAAATAATTTGGTCATTTTGACCATTTATGAGCTAAAATGTGGTGTGGTGGTAGCTGAGAGTCATCCCCAACACAGACCTGGAGCTCTGACTGATCACACAAGCTCTTTGATGAAAGAGGTGCATGTAGAGGTGATGAAAYGGGTTTTGTTTAATGAAGTTTTTGGGTAATTTGTATCTTTTTTTTCATGGATTTACTTCCCATTGTTTGATGCTCATATATTTGTCATTATTTTTGCTTCTCTGCTTGAACTRTTTCTCAWTTAGTCAGATTTTGTTTGATGTAGCTTCATGGTTAACACACACAATCTTATTTATTTGAATTYACTTTAAAATGTTACACAGTATCATGCTGTATATTACATTTGATCCAGTCAGAGGGGCATTAGGTCTATGAAGAAGGAGACACCTTGTTCTAAATAAAAGAAATGTGATTTTAAAGTCATTGTGTAACGTTTAGGGTCAAACTCAGTAAGTACTCTGTATTGACAAGTACCCAAACTGTAGTACTTGTAATCATATTCGGTTTAAGGATAAACTGGTATCAGGACACCCCTAAGTCTTTCACATGTCTGTAATAAAAAGAATCTTCATGTTTTTTTTATTATTTTTTAATCTTATTCTAAAGTATTTTATAAAAGGAAGGCTAACAGGCCTGTGCCTCTTTTGCATTTTGAGYGATGTCATCATGTTTACATCATTCTGTAAAAGTAGTTGATTGTGTGTTCTCATGGTGCCCGGACTCTGAAGTGGTGGAAGAAATGCAGTCCACAGAGAGAACACGCATGCAGGCCTTCATGGTTTCATGCAGGACAGCTGTGAGACGAGACTGACATGTGTTTGATGGCTAAATCCAGATCCAAATCCTTCCCTTGGACTTGGATCTTCTCCAGGCAGCCTGTCAAAAAGTGGGAGCCGCCAACACCTTCACCTGAAAAATCAACAAAAGTGGACAAAAGACAGCGGTTATTCCAAGGAGCCCCACAGCTCCCAGCAGTCTCCTCAGAGTACAACGATAAAAATTGAAAGATAAAAAAGACTCAGAAATCGTTTAAGACACGTGATCTTACCCAGAAGACCACCGACAGCAAGATGACCCTCTCTTAAAGTTGTTAAATAACCGGCGTGGCCCTCTGTAGCRACCAAAATCGATTTTGATTCATCCTCGTCTGGAAGCACTTTGACTAAATCCTTCAGAAAAGTAATCAGCAGTCTCTGGAAACGATTTTCCACAGTTTGTTTTTCTTCTTTGARAATTATTATGACTTCCTGTAAATCAGAAAAAGAAACTTGTTAAACTCATATAGATCTTTAGGATGTTMCTGTAAGACAGAGCTATTCAACTGGTGGCCCGCGGGCCACATCCAGCTCGCGGATGACTACCATCCGGCCCACCAGTGAGGCCTCACACCCTAATTATACATTTTTACTTAATTTAACATAAAAATAGATTTTAAATGAATTGTGAATTTAAAATATATGATTCAGCGTTCCCACACCTTGGTCAACATCAAATTCAAGGACCTTTCAAGGACTTTCCAGTACCAATATCCTCAAATTAAAGAATCACGTGCAATTACCTACTRCTACCTCAGAAAGTTACCWATGAACAGGTTTAATATGTAAATTCAATGARAAACTGAACAACRTAGAAGTTGTTGAGTCAGAATCAATGACGCCAGTTTACTGTAATCCTGAGTTATCCACCGCAACAAATGTAATTTTTTTAAATTTATAATTAAYTTTTTTAAAAGATGATGAAAATCAGTTGTGTGAATCGAGAATTTCAATCCCCAAAAAACATTCAAGGACTTTCAAGGACAARTGTAATTTTTAGCTGTTTTCACAAACTTTCCATGGCCTTGAAATCATTTTTCAAATTCACAAACTTTCAAGGATTTCAAGGACCCACGGGAACCCTGAYGATTTATGCAACAAATTAACTCCCCCATCTCCAGGTGTCTGGCCCCTGAGCTGTYGGCTTTGAGTWCCTGTGGCCCCGTTAGCACTTTAGTTGAATAGCCCTGCTGTGTGATGTGATTTAAAGCAGTTCTCCAGTAGAGAGTTGTTTGTGTCAAATTTAGCATCACACCTTAGTGTTGTTGTTAGCTGCCACAGTGAATAACAGCTCATCCTGTGACGACTTGATGCTCAAAATCGTTCCGTCCATCTGACTGAAATCTCCCCAAAACTCCACCCTGAAGCCATCGTCTTCACTGATGGAGAAAACTGCTGACAGATAAAAACAGACACACTTCAAACACAACAATCCGTGTAAACAATGTGGATTTAGTTCTCTTTAAATGTGGTTAGAGGTGACGGTTTATGGCTTCTGCCACACCGCTRCAGGTCAGAATGAAACTCAACCTCTCCAAACTGAGATAAATCTAAATTATATCKACAACAGGTAAGATACTTATTGCTCATYTCCAGTGGTGGGCACAGTTCCTCTAATCTGCCAATAGTGGAACTAGCTTTTCATTTACCGGATTAGCTTTTTGACTAGCTTTAGAAACCATTAGCAGACKTTAGTTTAGTTTCTGCTAAATTAGRTTCTGCTAATTTTAGGTCCACTAACAATGATCAAATATTAAGTTTCTTATTTTATGCCATTTATCAAAAATTAAATAAAAACCATCCTCTCTTACAAGCAGTGCTGGACGTGTCAGGCACTGTGTGTGTAGCATGTAGCATCCTAATCTTCAACTGGAAGGAGATGAAGACATGTGACAGGCTACAGTTGTCTTAGCGGTTAGCGTTAGCTTCCACTAATTTTTTTTAAAATTTGTTTAGCAGTTTTGCATTAGCAGAGCTAAGATTCTTGTTTATCAGGTTAGTGGTTAGTGAAGCTAATGTTTTGGTTAACTGTGTGCACCATTTCTTATAACCTGGCCACAGAACACCATTATGAAAAGATCTGTGTGGATCCTGTAAGACCTGCTTGTATTTTTTGGTAAATTTCAGCTCTACGTTTCCACCTGAGGTGTTGAAAACGGCCAGTCCTTTGCCGGAGAAGTAGCTGCCTGGTTGAATGTTTTGATAGCAGAGCCAGAGCTCCTCGGCCTCGGCCTCCCAGGGCATGCTGAGGTTTAACCAGCAGCCTTCCCGAACGCAGCCGTCCATCTGTGGYTCAAACTGCAGGAAGATTACGCAACAACGCTTTTAGGACAATCAAAATCAAATCACAATGTAGGTTATCTATGATCACTTATGTACAAAACACGATGCGTTTTTAAAAAAATACAAGGAACAAGATTGTATAGGAGTGATTTTTCCTGACTGAGACATTTAAATCTGGTTTCAGCACCTGAACTATCAACTTGTCCTTGTTGATCAGGATCCCACCAAGAGCCAGTCGAAGTTCACCAAAGAAGACTTCCTGTGTCTGTTTGGACTGCATGCCCACCTCCAGTCCAGATAAGCCGTCCACCTCCAGGATCACAAACTTGCCCTCGTTGCTCACTTCCAACTTGAATCAAAGACACACAGCGAACAGTTKATTRGATTTGTGRCTCTGGAAGAATCCGAGCCGCACCGGAGACTCACCGTGTGCCATTTCCCATCGTTGAGCTTCAGTCCGCCCGTCACGCTGACCAGAACGTCTTCCTTGCTGATCTGCATGAGGGGGAATCCATCTCTTAGGGACAAAACAAACCAGTCCTCCCCATTTTTGGTGTCGCCGTAGAAAATTACTCCTTCGGGGTCAAAGGTCCGAAACTGAAAAGATGACTTGATGCTGCGCAACCGGAAAAATTCAAGTTGGGAGAGCAGATATTTATTTAAAAAAAAAAAAAACATTTTAATTGTAATTGCTAACACAGAACCAAACTGATTCAAAGTGGTGGTTAGGGTTAGAAAATCTACAGACATTGTTACAAATTAACTTTGAAAGGAGCTTTGAAAACCAGTGCACAAAAAAGATTAACAAAAACACATTATTAACAATGTTTGTATCTGTGAACAGTTAACACCAGTCTCTGCAACTTTTATTTTGTGGCTCAAAATCATAGACATTTAAAGACCACTGATGTTTTGTTTAGTTGTTATTAAWAATCAATATCTTACCTGCACCAAAAATCATTCAGAGCATTTTAGTTGAAAATATCAGGCAGAAGTTTTTTCAAGACAGTTGAGCTAATGGCTAGTCAGAGTGGAGCCACCAAAATGACTTAATACTCTGCTAAAACAACTCATACTTCAAGGGGCAATATTACATGTTTCTCAGGCATATAGTTAAATTCTATACCATAGTAAAGTAACTATGTCACCTTCAGTTGTTATTAAAATGTTGTTTATATGTTTAAATAGAAAATAAACTTGACTTCTCATCATATGTTTCTAAACACCTTGAAATTGGCCTCTGTCTCTTTAAGAATCTCCTTCTGCTTCTGTCCCGCCCATTTCAACATGGGGCTGGGTGTGTGTGCTCTGTGATGAGGAAGCTCAGCTTGGAGACACAGCCCAGAGGAGGAGCTGGTCCCAAAAGGAGGTTCTAGWCCCAACCGGTCGTTTTTGCTCCCCTGCCTGGCTGCCTCAGGACACTACAGGATTTCTCAAACATGCATGAATGAGTCAAAGCAAGACTCTGGGCATGTTTTTGATGAGAGGATAACATTATAACATGACATAAAACTCAAAAAAGTTGATTTTACATGATATAGCCCCTTTAAYAAAATGATTGTTTTTGCATTAGTTATTGAACAGAATGGGGACYTCAACTCAGGCTATTTATAGACTACACTAGTCACTCAACTTAGACTAGCCGTTAGCTCAGATCCCTTGGACTAGCCTCTCTCAGATTAACCATTAGCTTGACTGAACTTAAATTAATTCAAATTCATTTGGATAAGCTGTTAAAAACTATTCACCTAAGTTATTTTAAGAAGCCTGAYATTCCAAACRCGTTGTGCTCTTTGCAATTTCYACTGCAGGTAAGATATTTACTGTTGATCAGAAATCATGGCTTCACTTAAAAAAATAAAACACAACCATCTTAAAACAGGGACATGGTGCCAGCAGTGTTCAAACTGCAGTGATAATGTTTACCTGTGGATCTCACTGAGGTTGATTGTTGTGCGGATCAAAGGCCTCCAGGGGTCTCTCTCCTGGCCGAGGTAGATGATGGAATCACCCGCCACTTCTTTCTAGAAGATAAAAAACAGGAGAAGACGCTCCGCTCAATGAACACAAACCCCATTWGCTCTTCCATTCACCTGAGCTTGTTCGCTGTATTTTACAACCAGATGTTTTAATTGATTAGCAGCTCAAACCATATTGATCCAACTTAAAGTATAATTACTGTGTAATGAGGGGTTTGCAGTAATCAAGTGTTGATGTTGTTAAAATGCATAAGGAGAAATAATCCCCACAWGGGAGCCTAAGCTAACCAAACTGCTGCTGGTTAAAATGTGCAAACATTAYAGCCTCAACAACCATTCATGACTTGTGTTATTAACCGTTCATCACAATAATTAAAAACATACGCAATTATCAAACATCTCTGCATTTGTTTTAACTTCTAGGAATCCTGTTTCACAACTTTTACAATCACAGCATTAGAAAAACCTTCAGGAGGAAACATTAACTCTTATTTAAACATTGAAAATGAATTAAAATGATGTAATCTARCATAAATAATTATACAAACATGGCATAAAGCTTTCAGATTAGACAGGTTTTAAGTATTGTGCTTCACACGTGTCCATCCAGGGCAGTACATACCTTATCCCGGCCGTTACCCCCTGCCTCCACTGGCCACCCCAAAAGAGCGAGGCTGACGATGATCAGCCCTCCTGCCGCCGCTTTCCAAAGCACGGCCATGGTTCAGCGCATCCAGTCACCCGGGCCTTTTGACACACTCTCCAGAAMCTTCTGGGTGCTTTGAGTGTTTCCTGAGGCGTCAGGAGCAGACAGAGCACTGCAGCGACTGTGTGGAGCGTGGGTGTACGCCGTCCCAGGGTCCAGAGGGCGAACGGAGGCCGGTCAGATCAAATTGCAGGAGGACGAGCTGCCCATGTTAATTAATTTAACACGTTAAAAAGTGGCAGAAACGGTCTTTAAAGTGTCCAATGAAGACAAAGTGAAAAATAAGTCCTCGACTTTCCTGCCTTTTGTTGAGACTCCTGCAGCGATGACTCAACTCTCGGCCGGGTCGGTGACCTCAGACAGTGTTTACCCACAGAAAACCTTGATTCATCACAACCGGCCTCCACTCTGTGTGTGTGTGTTCCAGCATTTGTGACATTGTAAGGCCTGCTTTTGTCAAAATATACTACCTTGTGAGGACTCACTTGCTCCTTATGGAGCCTGGCAGCAGTGCTGTTTTTAGGTTGGGGGTTAGGCTTCAGATGTTATTGGAAGTCAATGCAAACATGCAAAGTCCTTGTAAAGATAGAAACACATTGTGTGTGTTTGTGCTGCAGTAAAAGATGTAGAAAATGTTAGCTTCAAGCCACAAAGCTCAGKTTTCTCTWCTTTTTTTTTTCTTTGCTTTCTTTATTCCCCTGATATGATCTCCTTCCAGGAAGCCTGTGAGAGCTGGAAAGTACCGGATAAAGAGCAACACACACACACACACACGCACACACGCACACTGCTGTTAATCAGATGTTGTGGGATTAGGTGTTAATCTGAAATATGAAATCGAACTGAGCATGAACTTGTTCGTACTCCTGCTGGCTCTCTCAGAACGAGGCATAAATACAGGTTTCACTGCAACAAGCATCAGTATTATGAACGGCCTACTGAGACTATTTAAACGGATAGTTCAGATATTTTGAAGTGTAATTATTAACAATAAGTATCTTACCTGATGTAAATACATGTCTTTTTGAACAACCCAGTTTGGAGCAATGCAGTGTTCTGGTTACTAATGATACAAGGTAATAATACTGTAGCATTATGTTGAATAAAAACTGGTTTACTGAGAACACAACAGAATAGAGGCAGACATGTATTTTGAGTTTGGGACTAGTCAGGGTTGAGTCCATCATAGGAGGGTGTTAAGGTTGATTATTTTAAATTATTAACTTAGAAATCCTTGATCCTGAGTGCAAACTGTTTCCACCAATTATGTTTAATTCTGACTGGATGGACAAGCAAACKGCTAGTCCAAATGGATTGCTAACATCTTAAACCTCCAATCACAAAAAGCTCTCAGTCGTTCGTGTGAACACCAGTTGTAATTTTTGTAATACATTATTATTCTGGCTGAAATGTCATAATATTACTGCAGGAAGTACCCCAGGCCCATTTGGTCAAAATTAAACACAAACCGAGTTAAAGAGCTCTACAGCAGGTAAAATATTATCTGTTCACAACTTTTACAAAGAACCTCACTTTAATAGACTGAACTATCTCTTTAAATAAGTAATGTTTAMAAAAACAAAGACTACAAATGCACCGTTTAAAACAAAAAGCCTAACATTTGGAAATCAAATGTTTTGGATGCAAAATTATATTAAAACCATATAAATATGTAAACTTTTTTTTAACTTTTTGATATTTCTCTTGTGCAAACATGTCATCCACTTGCCTAAATCTCTTCARTGTGAACTGTAATCCATCAAACTTTGTCACAAATTACATTTACGGTAATAAATGTTGGCAGTGGGGGATTAATTGAAGGTAGATATTACTACTCTATGACGGAGTATTAGGGCTACATAAGATTTGTCTTTTTTACATTTTTTTAAATTATGAGAATAGTCATATTGCAACATTAAAGTTGTATGGAAATAAAGKCATAATATGTGAATAGTCRTAACATTAGAAGATTAAATATTATGAGAATAAAGTCTTAATATTACGAGATTAAATCATATTAGTCTATAATGAGAATAAAGTCATAATATAACAACATTACTGTTGTATGGAAATAAAGTCATAATATGTGAATAAAGTCTTAATATTAYGAGATTAAAGTCATATTATTATGTGAATAAAGTCATGTTACGTTAAAGTTGTACGAAAATAGTCAAATTATGTGAATAAAGTCATAATATTACATGATTAAATCATATGAGAAGTCTTAATATTACAAGATTAAAGTCATATTATGAGAATAATCATAATATTATAAGATTAAAGTTATAATATGAGAAAAATGTTATAATATTCTAAAATCAAAGTCATAATACCATACCCTTTACACAAAAAGCATGTAGTTAACACTGCATTAAAATGAGGAATGTTGTGCAACTTGTCAAGTTGTTCTTTAGTTTTGCTTAAAATAAATAGTTGATCTTTTAGCACATTAGCATCAAATTATCAGCAGCAGGACTTGAACATTGTGCAAACGACTACATGATAAACTGAAGCATGCATGACAGATTTAGTCGTCATGAAGCTTATTTGGATGAAAGCATATTAATCAAACAGTGACCCAAGTCTTCACTGACTACTTTATAAAAACAGAGAAATATGGCTGTCCACAGAAAGTGAGGACACTAGGAAATGAGGAAGGGAAAATGGACACGTCATGATTGTGACTTTTTTCCCTATAATATTGAGTTTTTTCTCGTAATGTTACTACTTTATTGTCGTAATAATAATTTAAAAAATCTTGCATGGCACCAATACTCTGCTGTACTACCCCACTTACAGAAATAAATAAGTTTGTTTGCAAATTGTTTTAGTGGACTTAAAATTAGCAGAAGCTAATCAGTTCACTAACCGTTTCCAAAGTTGGCAAAAAAAAAAGAAGCTAATCCGCTAAACAAAAAGCTAGTTAGCAGATTAACAAAACACCGACCAGATCTTAAAAACAGAAGGGCAGACAGGAGCTGATGTTGTTGGGTCGTCAGGTTAATACTTTATTTTGTTTGATTGCAGCAAAGAGAAAGAAAGGGAGACAGAAACGAGGGAAAAGGAGGAGGGAGACGAGAAGAATGTCGGGAAGAAGAAGAGGAGACTACAGACTTTGGGAGAGCTGTGGCTACAAGCCTTTGTATCAAATCTAAAGACAAAGTCATCAGGCAACATTAAAACATCTTTTAAAAATAACATGAACATATTCTGTGGGGCTCTATATGGCACAGTATTACCCTAGACATGTACACGATACCAAAAAACAGTTTAGCCACACTCCTACATCTATGAACAGCTTCATAGCAAAACAAAGCCATAAACTCCATCTCCTAATGGGTCGTTCCTTAAGAAACAAACAGGAAAAAAAATAACAATAACTTTCGTTTATCGCTCGAATTTCTTATGCCATAACAAGGCACCGTTAAAATCTGGCAGATCCACGTCTTACGATAGATAATTATTTAAATATCAAAGCAGAGGCACATTCATTGGAACTAAAACGTACAGTAAATAGTTGTATATCACCATCAGATTCCAGTCCAGTCACAAGACGTCGAGTTGCATGCTTTTGGTCTGTGTTGTCACCGTGATGGCAAACTATGGCATAAGAAATGGTCCGAGAACACAAACATGTCCACCTCACGTACAGGAATGGCTTGAGACGGTGTACTGGAAACAACAAGGCCTTTTTTTAAATTCTAGTTTACCTTCTTTTTTTATTATTATTTTAAACATCAAAAATAAAACTTACTCACAGAAATGTGTCACGGAATAAAAATAAAAATAAAAGAAGAAACGGTTGGGCCCATTTTCTGCCGAGGGAGATGCTGCTTAGGCTGATTTATTTTGGTTCTCGCTCTCACTCTCTCTCTCTCTCTCTCACACACACACACACACTCTCTCTCACACACACACA